CCTCAGCCTTCCAAGTAGCCAGGAATTACAGGCACGCACTACCACGCCCGGCTAATATTTTGATTTTATTGTAGAGATGAGGTCTCGCCTGCCCAGGCAGGTCTCGAACCCGTGGGCTCAGGCAATCCACTCATCTCAGCCTCCCAAAGGCGTGGGATTACAGGATGAGCCACCGAGCCCGGCTGAAGTGTATCTTGATTTAAAAAAAAAAAGTCATAGAATACCAACTACCAAATTTGGCTAGGCTTGTTACGTAATTAATGATTTTTAATCGGAGGCAAAAAGGGAAAGGTCGGTTTTTCTTGGGAGTAGCATTTTCCATACCTCCATGAATTCAGAAGTGCTGATAGACTGATGGCTGAGTTTGCAGAGGGTTCTAAGCTCACTCAGTTCCAGCCTCTTGAATATGGCATCTTCTCAGAATATGGCATCAGCTACTTGGCTAGAGACCATGGTTTTAGTACTGGAAGTTATTACTCTCTGACGGGAAATGAGAGTTCACTTAAGTACCACATTGTTTAAGTGCTTCTTGTGGTCTTTGACCTCGAACTCCATATGGGCATTTCTGTGCACTAGACTCAGGGGACTTTTTCCTTTTGGAAAAGCTATGCTTCCTGAGAATATAGGGAAACCGTTTCCTAGCGGGGGAGCCAGGTTACAACAGGGCTGACTATGACCCAACATAGACCTGGGGCTCTCCCTGAGAGCAGAGACTGTGTCTTATTCATCTGTGAGTCCCCTGCACATGGCCTGGCACCTGATCACAGTGCCAGCAAAAGAGGGTGCCAACTTGAAAGAGAGTGGGTGGAGAGAGTTGCTGGCTCACACAGAACAAGGCTGGATTATTGTGGTTTGGTCCGTGTGGAGGCGGGCGCTGGGTGGGGAGTGGCCGTTCTCCTTGAGTCTGATGAGGCTCCCGGCCAACTGTCAGATAGAAGAGCAGTGTCTGTGGGCCCAGCCAGATGGAAAGACTCCAGAAGCTTTCAGCTCTGCTGAGCTTTATGAGAGGCACAATGAGTTCCTTCCTGTCCCTGAAAGGCCTTTCAGGGCTCTCCTGAATAATGGGATGGGTGAGCCCTAGGGCCTGGCTTCCTTAAAGAACTGGGCTTGGTTACTACAGAGATCTACACAGATCTGTCTCCCAGCTGAGCCCCATGGGCAGGCCAGAGCTCTGTTCCCTGGCCCCCCACACACAGTTTGCAGACCTGTCTGTTCCCTTCCTTATGTTTCAACTCATGGTTCCCCAGCCTCCTGCTTGTTAATTTGTTGTCCATGTTCGCTCTCCTTTTCTATTTCTCTGTCTCTGGCCTTCGTCTCCTTGTTCCCAAGGGTTATATGCCTGTCTCGAAGTCCTGCCTTTTAACGTCTTGGGAGGAGGAGGAAGTCCAGGCCAGGACATTGGGCAGTTATCCTTTCACCTGGCAGGTAAACCATCCTGGGACATGGGGTAGGAATCTTGGCAACTTGAAAAAGAGTTGGGAGAGAAATTCCCTAGAAGTTCTGTGGAAGAGAAACGTCAATCCCCGGTGTCTCAATACTCCTTGTCAGGGGGATAGTTTCTCTCCATTAGGAGGGACCAGTTATTGCATGCTCACACTTTACAGAAGTGTTGATGAAAGAGGCCAAACTCTATAAAGTATTTAAGATGGTTTACTCTGCGCCAAATGTGAGTGACCTTAGTCCCATGGCACCCTTCCCTGGGAAATCCTGAGAACGTGTGCTTGCCATAATTGAATTATAGCTTGGTTATATACATTTTAGGAGGACAGAGGTTACAGAGAATCATAAATCAATACATGAGTATTTACACTGAAACAGTCCAGGAAGGCAGGACATTTTGAAAGGGGGGCTGGGCGGGCGGGGTGGGGGGCGGTGCTTGCAGGTTACAGGTGGAGTCAAAGATTTCCTGACTGGCAATTAGCAGAATTATCTAAAGAATTTTGAAAGTAGTAAAGGAAATGGCCAACTTGAGGAAAGAAAAGAGTCAAGTTTCTTGATGAGTAGCTGAAGCTTCATAGGTGACAGGCTTCAGAGAGAATACCTCTCTTAAAAGGGGCCCAGAGTCAGGGAGTCCCCAACAGGCAGCTTTACAGCATCCTAAAATATTTTTATTTTCCTTCTTTATTTGCTATGTGATGTTATGCCAGAGTCAGGTTGGACAGGAAACCACATTAAATAGTTAATAAAAAGCCGGTCTTTCCAAGCCCCTTTGTTAGGAATCTGGCAAGGTAAAGAGAAAGGTCAGAGTTCACTCCTCATAGTCCTCAGAGGAATTGCATGGGCCATCCTGTTGGTGTTCTCTGATGGATCCATCCTCCCAGCCACCTCCACCTGAGCAATATCTGTTCACCCTTGTGTTGAGAGACATAACTGTTCCCACAGAGTTCTGTAGGGACTTGCAATTGAAACAGTAAGTTTTGGCCGTGCGCAGTGGCTCACGCCTATAATCTCAGCTCTTTGGGAGGCCGAGGTGAGAGAATTGCCTGAACCCACAGGTTTGAGAACAGCCTGGGCAACTTGGTGAGACCTCATCTCTACAATTAATCAAAAAATTAGTCGGGTGTGGTGCTGCGTGCCGATAGTTCCAGTTACTTGGAAGGCTGAGGCGGAAGAATCGCCTGAGCCCAGCAGGTGGAAGTTGCGGTGGCTGTGAGCGTGCCATTGCACTCCAGCCTGGGCAACAGAGACTCCAACTCAAAAAAAAAAAAGAAAAAAACAGTAAGTTTTAAACAGTTGCTTAAGTCCGCCTGGATGTCAGACATCAGAGTATTAAACTGTTTCTTCTGAGCTGAGGCAGCTTCTTTGGTAGCCACACAGTCCGTGTTATTTTTCAGGTTTGAGGAACTCAGTGGGATCCCTGGGTTTTCTGAGACCATCTCCTAGTTTTCCTCAGACCAGACAGATGACCTAGTAATGAAGCATTTCTGTTTGGAGCCCCTGGGAGAGGCTCCCATGTGGGACTCTACAGACAAGCAGTGTGGGTTCACACCTACTGGTAGGGTCAGCAGAAGAGTAGAGTGTCCCTGTGGAGACAGTTCCACTTTGGTGTGTGGTTTATGTCTTGTTCAAATAAAGGGACACCTGATTTCTTCTTGGAGACTGTTAGCTCACCACAGTGGTTCTTAGCCAGAAAAAGCCCCGGGGTTATATTGTTATTTATGTTTTGCTTTCTAAGGTTGTATGTTTTCCTAAGATTTTTAGTGACCTTAACTAAAAGTCATGCATGAAGCTGGTGCAGGATCTGAGTCTGGACCTCAGGGTGTGTTCCTGCCACCCCCTGGTCCTGGGTAGAATCTGCCAGGGAGAAATATGAGGTGTGAAAATTAAGTTCACGAACTCATCCTAGAAAAAGTGCTATACACCTCATTGCTGGATATCACTATGGTCACTGTTGAAGTACTCCCCTTGGGAAGCTATGCACCAGCCCAGGGCTTAGTCCACTCGTCAAAGCAATTTTGGAACTCTTTTTCTGGAATGGCCATCAGAGCTGTTGTTGTATCACCCTTGATGTCCTGAATGTCATCAAAATGTCTTCCTTTCAATATTTCTTTTATCTTTGGGTAAAGAAAAAAGTCATTGGGGGCCAGATCAGGTGAGTATTCCAATACAGTTATGTGTGTACTGGCTAAAAACTCCCTCACAGACACTGCTATGTGAGGTGCATTGTCGTGATGTAAGAGCCCCTTCAGGATCATTTTTGCACACACCTTTCTCATGCCAAGAATTTCAGTGAAGATTTTCCTGTTTTTCTATCGATGTTTATTTGTTCTGCTATGTGTCTCACTGTGAGCTGAAGATTTTGACACACAATTTGGTGAATTTTTGCAATGTTTTTGTCAGTTCTGCTGTTACTGGTTGTCATGACGTTTCTTTATAAGTAGCACTTTCTCTCCCCTCACAAAAACATTTAATCCATTTGTACACTGCCGTTTTCTTCAAGGCATTATCCCCATAAACTTGGAATAACATGTCCTGATTTCACTTCCACTCTTGCCAAGTTTAACAAGAAATTTGATGTTCGTTCATTTTCAAGCTCTGACATTCTTGCGACAGCACACGAAAACATGCAACAACAATAATGAGCACCACTCAGCAAGACACTGCCACACCACGACACAAACACAGCTGTGAGACACTGATATACCAAGGCTATGAAACCTTACCGAGTTGTTTGTAGAGTGCTGTCCACGGAATCACACGGTGGCAAGCTCTCAAACTTAATTGTCAGACCTCATAGTTTGGGGTGAGGGAGGCCTTGCTGTGCAGCTCACTGAGCATGCATCCCTGTTTTCCCAGGCGACCTGGAGCTCCTCTCGGTGCTGACACGATGACAGTGTACCTGCTGGCCGAGGGCAGCCACAGCCAGACAGAAAGCCTGAGCTGCACGTTGGCTGACACGTAAGAGCGTTTTTTCCCCTGGGAGTGGAAAGTGGGCCCTGCTTCTCAGTCTCCTTTCTTTCTCTCCCACCCTTCCCTCCTCTGCCTTGAGCTGAAGAGTTGCTCTTTTCCAAATTACTTTAATGAGCCCCCTGAAAGTCACCTACATGAGCTGCACTCATTTAAGGCTTCAGACCAAATAGCCAGGAGAGGGTCTGATTAATGCCCAGTGTGTAGGAAGATGACTCTGGGTGACTTCAGCCCTGACCTCATGGTGCATTCCTGTCCAGGGCTTAATTTTCTAACTACGAGGATGCTCAGGCATCTTTATTATTTTGAGCCCTATACCTTTTCAGTCACTTTTGTCCTTGTCATCAGCTTTCCCAGCTTACGTTGTCATGGCTGTTTCCTTCTCCCCAGATGAGCCTTTTCTCTAATACTCTCTCACATTCTGCAAAGGAGTTGGCAGTCCTAGAGCTGTTCCCAACTCTCTACCCAGGCTGGAGCCCCTTCTGTGGTGGGAGAATCTTGCAGACAGGGTCTCTAGAAAGTATTGGCCCAGCAGCAGCCTGGAGAAGACACTCTGTCCTTGGGGATGCTTAGAATTATTTCAGCATCCTCGTCTCTCTTGCCTGCGCTTTGTAGGTCCAGCGTGGGCTTCCAGCATCCTTTATTCCTCTCCAGTTTTCAGATGGGGCCTCTGTGATCACTCCAGGTGCTGGGCTGTTAGACAATAACTGTAACTACAATAACACTGGTTACCTCTTACTGACATCAAGATGTATAATGTATGCTGGACTCTGGGCACATTGCATACATTCACTCATCCATTCATTAATACATTGACTAAATACTTATTGACTACCTATTATGTATCAGACACAGTGAACAAGATCTATTTGGCATCTGACTCATAACATTCTAGTGTTAGCTGGGCACAGTGGCTCAAGCCTGTAATCTCAGCACTTTGGGAGGCCAAGGCGAGAGGATTGCCTGAGACTATGGGTTCGAGACCAGCCTGGACAATATGGTAAGACCTTGTCTCTACAATAAATCAAAAACTTAGCCAGGTCTGGTGTCGCATGCCTGTAGTTCCAGTTACTTGGAAGACTGAGGTGGAAGGATTGCCTGAGTCCAGCAGGTTGAGGCTGCAGTGACCATGAGCGTGCCACTGCACTCCAGCCTGGGCGACATCTCAAAAAAAACCAAAAAACCAAAACAAACATTCTAGTGTAGAAAAGGAAGAAAGGGTACTTATTTTAAGATGAAAAAAATGGAGTCGGGAATCAAGGCCCAAGTCCCTCAACACCAAAGCCCACATACTTATCTGTTGTGCAGTGTTGCCTAGCAGCACACAGGATTTTAGTGACCATGTATCAGATCATCAGTTGTCACTAAGCATGAAGTAACGTGGACTGTCGTGTGTCATTTGTCAGTCTGCTCTTCATCTTGCCTGTGGCACCATGACTGCAAGGACTAGTGCTCCTGCCTTTTGAACCCTTAGTAAAATAACAACGTACTGAGTCTGATTTGGACTAAAATTTGAATTCATGCTGATGTTACCAGTGGTTTCAGAACAATTAAAAAATATTTTTTGTAAACACTCTGGAAGGTACCCTAATTGCTTAAGTAAGGAATTCTGCTTTGATAGCCATATTTAACATAGAAAAATATGTTTGCCCTCAAAAAAAGTGTTTGCATTTTTACAAGTTTCTAATTGATGCTATGCAACCAAGAACAGCAGCATAATTTATGTGCCAATGTCTCAATTGAGGAAGAAGTCATTACATAAACAACCGGTAGTCTCTGGAATAGAAAACTAAGTAGTGAAAGGATATATGAATGTGCTAATTAGTCATACCTCTCTGTGAGCCTTAACTGGCGTTTCAGAATTCCTGTCAGTCAGATCTATATATTCAGAAAATGTGCCCCCTGAGACTGGTTCATGTGTGTTTGCTCATCTTGGCATGTCTGAAGTCAGCCTTTGCTGGGGGGAGAATGTTTTGCATTTCAATACACAGATACTCTCATTCTTGTTAGACTAGCTTAAAAATGTTTTTTCTTTCTTTCTTTTTTGAGTCAGAGTCTCACTCTGTTGCCCAGGCTGGAGTGCAGTGGCACATTCACGCTACCGCAGCCTTGACCAGCTGGGCTCAGGTGATCCTTCCGCCTCAACCTTCCAAGTAGCTGAAACGTGCCACCACACCCGGCTAATTTTTGATTTGTTGTAGAGATGAGGTCTCGCCAAGTCGCCCAGGTTGGTCTCGAACCCATGGGCGCAGGCAATCCTCTTGCCTCTGCCTCCCAAAGTTCTGGGTTTACAGGCGTGAGCCACCGTGCCCAAACAGAAATGTTTTGTTTCAAAATAATTGTTAACATCTTCATGGGACACTGAAAGGCATATCTCCCACATGTATGTTCCCAGCCAGAACTTTCTGCAGTGATGGAAATATTCTTCTCCTCCATCCAGTACAGCAGCCATTGGCCACATGGGGCCTCTGAGTTCTTGATATGTGGCTGGTGCAACTGAGGAACTGAAGCTTTAATTTCATTGGATTTAAGGTTAAATAGCCACCTGTGACTGGTGGCTACTATGTTGGCCAGTACGTTTCTAGGCCAAGTGTGAAATCTGAATCTGCCCATTCACACATTTGTTCATGCAGCCGGTATTTATTGGCCACTTAAGGTATGAAAAGATAACAAAATCCCTGCCCTAGTAAAGAGCTAACTCTAGAAGGCTCACATTCCAGGAAGATTCAATTCAGATGCAACCAATCATTGTAGCTTTACCCACTCAGTTCAGAACACTTGTCAAGCTTAGAAGTAACAATGACCTTTGGTGTTGCTTTAATTTTATTGTTTAGGTGTTCTTCACCCTACTCCCCACCCCTCAACCCCCCCACCAACACACCCCCCCCAAATCCAGACTGGAGTGCAGTGGTGCAATTATAGCAATTCTCCTGCCTCAGCCTCTGAGTAGCTTGGACTACAGGCATGTACCACCACACCTGGCTAATTTTTATAATTTTTTGTAGAGAAGTGTCTTGCTATGTTGCCCAGGCTGGTCTCAAACTCATGGGCTCAAGTGATCCTCCTGCCTAGGCCTCCCAAAGTGCTGGGATTACAGGCATGAGTCACTGCACCCAGCCACTTTAGTTTTTAAATAGTCGTTGCAAAGAACTACCTGTGGATAACAAAAGTAGGGAATATAGTCTATATAATCTTTTACCTCATGAAATTATTCCTGTTTTTACCAGGGATAAAGCTAGCAACAATGATAGCCACCATTATGACATGCTAGATACTTTATGTGAGCTGACTCATTAAATGTTAACAGCCACCCTAATAGATATTATTACTATACCCATTTTACAGAGCAGGAAACTGAGGTTTAGAGGATTTAAACAACTTGCCCAAGGTCACACAGCTGATCAGTAGTTGAATTAGGATTTCAGCCCAAGTCTATTGCACTCCAAAACCCAATTGCTCCTTTCATCCCACTGAGCTGTCTCCCCAGGAAAAACAAAGTGATTTTTTTTTTTTGGAGTAGGAATCTTACTCTGTAGCCCAGGCTGGAGTGCAGTGGCACGCTCATGGCCACCGCAGCCTTGACCTGCTAGGCTCAGGCGATCCTTCCACCTCAGCCTTCCAAATAGCTGGAACTAGAACTACAGGCATGCACTACCATGCCCAGCTAAATCTTCGATTTATTGTAGAGACGAGGTCTCGCCGTATTGCCCAGGCTGGTCTCGAACCCCTGAACTTCAACAATCCTCTCACCTCGGCCTCTCAAAGTGCTAGGATTGCAGGCTTGAGCCACCATGCCCAGTCACAAAGTGAGTTTTTTTTTAGATTGAAAAATATAGTTTATTTATCAAGTAAACTAGAAAAAGAGAGAAAAAGAGGAGATTCACCTCCCCAAGGTAGGGAAGGGGGCCAAAGCTTAAGAAAACATGGCCTGGCCATAGCTCAAAGAACACATGGCCACACCATACCTTAGCAAGGCAATGGCCCACAAAGGGATTTTTAAACTAGTAGTTTCAGTGTTTGTGGTTTGCACATCGTTACCTTAGTTCTAGCCAATTTCTATGACCAACCCCAGCTGAGAACGATAACTAAGAATCCCTTACTTTGTTTTTGTCTTTCTTGTTCAGGGTCAAGGTGGAAGGTCCAGGGACTGGGGAAGACTCTCGAAGGCAGCCACTTGGGTCCTCCATTCCTTTCCCAAAGACTGATCAGGAGCCAGTCTTCAAAAGGAGCCCACTGGAAAGCCTCAGGAACCTCATGCTAGAATCAGGAGTGGACATGTTCAACTCAGATATGATCATCAGTGACCCTGCTGCAGAGGCCAGCAGGGCTGGGAAGAAGCAGCTCCGAGGCGTTCAGAACCCCCACCTGTCTGCCCAAGTTGGAGTCCGGCACAAGTCCCTCAGCATAAAGGACAAGATATCAGAATGGGAAGGGAAGAAGGAGTCGCTCGCTCCGGTACCTGGCAGGAGAGCAGAAGGACAAGAGGATTATCTGACGTCCTGTGTGATAGGAAGGAGAAGTAGTGATGGGGTGAGAACATGGGTCTCAAAGGCTAAGAATAAAACAAGGCCAGAAACAGAGAGTATAGAGGAGAAGAATAAAGGGGCAGTGAAAGTTGGTGTTCAGGACCCAGAGAGGGGGCAAGTCCTAAGCCAGCTGGAGAGGGAGCTGAATCTTGACTTGGGCAGTGGCCAGGAGCCAAGGCCTGGCAAACAGCGCTTTCAGAACGATCACCTGTCGGTGCTGAAGCAGGTCAAGAAACTTGAACAGGCTTTGAAGGATGGCTCAGCAGGGCTGGATCCCCAGTTGCCAGGGACTTGTTATTCCCCACACTGCCTGCCTGACAAGGCAGAGGAGGGCTCCACCCTTTCTGAGAACCTGGGAGGTGCTGGTGGCTCAGAAGTCAGTCTGAGGGTCCACCACTCAGACCTGGATGGCAGGGAGCCCACCCCTAAGGCTGCGGAGGAAAGGAAAGGGTCATGTGGATGGCCCTGGGACCCGAGTCATGAGAATGTGTACAGGGGAGCCAGGGGATCCCCTGCAAAGCCCTTCATCAACCCCCTGCCAAAACCCAGGAGAACATTCAAGCATGCTGGAGAAGGGGATAAAGATGGGAACCCAAGCATCGGATTCAGGAAAGAGAAAAGAAACCTGCCTCCTCTGCCCTCTCTCCCTCCGCCGCCCCTGCCCTCCTCACCCCCTCCTTCCTCTGTGAACAGAAGACTATGGACTGGGAGACAGAAATCCAGTGCTGACCATAGGTAGGTGCTGGCAGCCCAGCAGTAGCATTGCATGACTCTGCCTGAGTAGTCTATGTCTCATGGCAACTGTCTGTTCTCAGCCTAGTTATTTGCTTTGTTAAACTTAGATCTTGCCGGGCTCGGTGGCTCAGCCTGTAATCCCGCGCCTTTGGGAGGCTGAGGTGA